TTCAGAGAGTCGATTTTCAGTACCTAATTTCAGAATTTCTAAGTGTTTTGGAACGAGACACCCTCGACGGTCCGTCGTGCCCACGACGGTCCGTCGTGGTATCCGTCGTTCCAGCCAGTTTTTCCAGAATTAAAATCTGCTGCTCAAAACGACTAAACAGGTCGTTACATGTATATACTTGAATCAAGAATTGATAATTCATGTTACATACAAATAATAATATATATAGTTGATTCAAACAATTTAAATGTGAAGGTGAAGCAAATGTACATGGATAAAGCTAATTTAATGGTTGTAATGACAAAATACAAAATAGATCATAACTTGAATTTTTGAGTTATAATATCTGATAACAAAAGGTATGTGACCAGAATTATTGTGTTGTAATACACTCTTTTTTTACTTTTTGAATATTTAAGTGTTAAACATTGTTAGTTACAAGTTGATACATCACTAGTTTGCTGCCTATGTGTTGGCTTCTTAGATCTATGTATCAATTGTGGTTATTATAAAGAACCATGTACATGTTTATTCGTTCTTCTTATTATTTGTAATCTATCATTATAGAGGCGTGAATAATTAAGACACATACTTTTTTTTAATGTATTTGTTAGTATATTAATCATGATACACTTCTATTTAGAACTTGATATATTACGAGTTTGTCGCAACTGTGTTGATTTTTAGATTTGTGTATCAATGTGTGGTTATTATAAAGTAACGAGTACACGTTAATTTGTTCTTCTTATTTTCTGCAATGCATCATTATAGAGGCATGAGTAATTAAGGCACATTTTTTTTGTTTCTTAAATATATTTATTAATATATTATTCATGATACATTCTAGTTACACCCTTATACATTACTACTTTTTCGCATATGTGTTGAATTTTAGATCTATGTATCAATTTATGGTTATTATAAAATATCATGTACATATGCCAATTCACTCTTCTTATATTTTTGTAATGTATCATTATGGAGCCATGTGCAATTAAGTCATACACTTTTTTTTTAGTGTGTTTATTAATATATTTGTCATGATACATTGTTAGTTACAACTTGATAAGTTACTAGTTTGTCGCATATGTGTTCGATTTTTTTAGATCTATGTATCAATGTGTGGTTATTATAAAGTATCAGGCATATATTAATTCGTTCATCTTATTTTTTTTTGTAATGTATCATTATAGATGCATGAGTAATTAAGTCACAAAGATATGAAAAGTTTATATAAGTCAGTTGATGTATATCTGACACATAAGATTTGTTGTGAACAATAATATGTTAAACCCTAGGTTATATTTATGGTCTATTACGAATACTGTTAATAATGTATCTTGAACTTTTTTTTTCTTTTATTGAAAACGATACATGAAACAATGCTTCTTTTTACTATACATGGTACACATAAAGCTATATATTAGTTTATTTTTTTGAAGATTGTTCTTGGAGCTTGAAGACATTTGTTTAAAAAATCGGATATATTCAAATTGAGGTACTACAATCGTGACATAAAAGAATCAATGCCGGATAAGGACGATTTACAAGCTCCTGAATGCATTTTTGAAGAAATTTTCTTGCCACAAAGAAGTAAAAGGATGTCTGGACGACCAAGAAAAAGAAGAAAGAAAAATTTAGATGAAAAGCTAACACAAAGTGTTGTGGACATTGTAAATAAGAAGATCACAATCGAAGAACTTGTACTTTCTTTTTCGGAATATAGTTGAGGAAGTTTTCATTTAGAATATTGTGATGTTTCAGATTAATAATTTTCAAATTGTAATCGTTCAATTTATAAATTTTTCATTGTTACAAATATATACATTACAAAGTATTGTTAGCATATTAATTTCTGATACAATAAATTGAAATGTTACAATTTTCAGTTTTATCTATATTTCTAAATAGTAATAATTTGTTCACATGGTAAAATTATATAAAATTTTAAGAATTTGATACAAGCTATTATGTTTCAAATACATTATTTATATAATGTATGATTTTATGTTTGATAATAATGTATCTGATATAGAGTGATCGCAAAGTGTTATGTGTAAATATGATAAAGTGTAGTTATTAATGTATCACAACAAAAAAGAATTAAGTTATAAAGATAATACGTGTTTAAAATAAATATTGTAGTGATTAAATATTAAATACAATATTCAATATATTGAGCAATCTCAATACTAAAAGAATTTTTATATATTTATCAAAAATTTATAGATGAAAAATAAGTACCATGGACAAATTTAAAAAAATCAGAAAAAATGGAAAAAACGATGAAAAAAACCCAACAAAGTAAAGATGATAAAACAATTTAAAATTAATTTTCTGGAGAGATAAATCTTTTAAATTCAAATTAGGATGAAGTGATAAACATAATGGAGAAATTAATTGAAAAGATCACGATAATTAAAAAATGAGAGAGATTTGTGGAGTGAAATTAGAATGTGATAAACATGGAGGATATGGGGAGTGAGAATTATGTATCTAGAAATTGTTGTGCTCAAAATAAGGGATTTTGAAATTTTTTTAAAATAGTAGGGAATATTGAAAATTATGAAAACAAAATGTGTGTATATATATGTAATTTTTCCATAATTTTATTCTTTTTATGCATAATTTTCTTAATTGTTATCTTCGTTGCTATTATATTTTAAATTAGTTTATACTTTTCAATATTTAGATATATTATTTGATTTGGACTTGTAAATATTTATGAATTTTTTTATTTTGTAGTCGCACAGAAGTCACAGTTACATTAGGTCGAAAATTTTATCAATTTACTTTGTAAATATCTTAATTTGCATCCAAATAACTATAGCCTTGAATCTTATCAGATTGAATATATTGATATTTCAATAAAAATATTTTGTACTCGTTTAAAATTAAACGCTCAATTTGAAGATGGTTAGCTAAACACATGAAAATCAAATACAATATGATGACTTTCTCTTCTAAAGGCGGGGGTGAAGACTCCATTGCGGCATTAAGTAAGGAATTTGAGGAAATCAAGGCGCATCCACTTCGTCATCTCAGCCTATTTATATGCAATAGGTAGAAAAGATTTTGCCTTTCTAGCCTCGAATAGTGGACTTCACATTTAGTTAACATTTATAATTTACAAGTTCCAAAGCTATGACCTAGATAAAAGTAAAAATATATTTGATCTCTTTTTCAATCATTGTGTTATTTTAAGAAAATCGAAAGAACTAATTAATTAAAATTGAAATAGAAGAATCAATTTTATCTTAGTGTATTTTGGTTTATAATTTTTATAAATCAACATATAAGGTTTAATTATTTTTAATGAAATACCAAATCATTCTTACCTGTGATTTTACAAAAAATATATTGTTATAATGAATTCTATTTTATGTTATAGGTAAAATGTTATTATACGAAAATAAGTAATATAAAAAAAATATTACTTTTTGAAGAAAATCAGTCCATTATTAAAAAAATCACCTTAAAAAATAATCGACCCTCATAGAAAGATTTAAAGAAAGAGAAAAATAAATTAAAATAACTTTAATCAAGTGAATTAACTAAAATAAATAAACAAATATGACATATGAAATGAACACGTGGAAGTAGTGTAATGTTTTTGTTCTTATATAAACACCAAAACAATTTCAGTTACTTCACTCTTTTGGCTCTTTCCGTCTAAGTGTGAAATGCACTGAGCTAAGCTACCTCTTCAATTTCTTCTACTCTCATTCTCACCGATTCAATCCACATTTTTCATACTTGTTGCTGAGGAGACGGAATTTCAGTATGGACGGAGGTGATACTACTCAAACGGTGAAAGACGATTCCGGCGACATCGCCGGTGGTGGTGAAACGGTCACCATCAACATCCGATGTGTCAACGACTCCAAATTATCTGTTCAAGTCAGCCTCGATTCCACCGTCGGATTATTCAAGACCGTCCTTTCCCAGCCGACTGATATCCCTGCTGAGGAGCAGAAAGTTATCTATAACGGTCGGATCTTAAAGGATGATCAAACCCTAAAAAGCTGTGGTAATAATTAATTTCTCTTATCTAAATATTTTTTTGCTACTTTATTAGTAATGCTGAATTATTTGTGTTTACTTTTTATTACTCATGTTGCTGATCAATCAATCAAATGTACCTCAATTACGAACTTGTTAGGGTTTGTGATATTAATGTTGTAAACATTGTTAAAAAATATTTATTTAAAAGAATATTTGTATGTTTTGTAACTTGTATGTTATATAGAGGTGCATGTTAAATATCTGAAAGTTCAGATTTTTTTTGGGCTTTAACTACTTAATGTAGAGAACTGTACTTCCGTTGGCTTAGGATTGTATGTTAATGCATTTTCCCGATCTGAGGAGTAATTTGAATTATTTGTTCATTGTGGAAATAATGCATTGAGAATTGTTTTAACAAGAAAAAAAAATAATGCATATAGAAGTTGTTTCCTGAAATGGAGGAGAATCTGGTTTTGGAAAATAATTCATTGGAACTATTAGTGGGTGTTGAGATTGTGGATATTCTTAGAATGTAGAAGTATCTTCTTTGACGGTTGTGAAGGAGATATCCTGCAATTGAAGGGAGTAGTAATTTTTGAAAGCCTACATTCGACTCCTACGTACAATACTTGACGTCATGAGCTCATTCGCTCCATCTTTATAGGTAGGATTACGTTGACAAAATATTCCTTAATTTCTCGATTTAGAAGTGCAAATTTAATCTCTGTGTGCAAATTTAACCTCTTTGTTTGTGTTCTTTCCAGAATAGATGGAAATAATCGATAAGTTGTGTGTTAATATTAGGACCGAATTTCGATTCTAATAGATTTAAAGTCTTGCTTATTTGTTGCAATATACTCCCTAATATGGCATGTTTTTTCTTGGGATAAGAAATAGGTAAAGGTCAATAAGTGGAAAAAAGTAATATAGAGGAATGAGCAGTGGTATTGGGATTTATTTTGCTTTTATTAGAGTATGAAGTTGTGTACGTGGATCTGCAATAGCAGGGAATCGGCATATTTGTTGCAGTTCAGTTTCCATTTTACTACGTAGATTTGATTTAGCATGTATTCTCTTGTCTTTAACATGATGCTACTTAATGCTAATTATGTTGATCTGATTCATGATTGATTACTTATAACCACATAAGATTCTGCATTGAGCTTTGGAATCTTATACTATCAAGATGCATGGAGCTTCTATTTTATCTGCTCTCTTGTTGCTTGTTATCAACTGTCAGAATAAGAATCATAGTAAATTTAATTTTAATATTTGTGGTGAGCAGGTCTGGAGGCAGACCATACAGTTCATCTTATTCGAGGTTTTGTCGCAGCTGCTTTTGCTAGTGCAACCAATGTTGTAAATCCGAATGCTAATCAGGATGCTCCCAGGGTTGGTTTTCCCACTACAGGGGGGTTGTTTGTCAGAGTCAGTGGAGGTCCACTCTTTTCTGGACTTGGAAGTAGAGGTGGTTCGTTTGGAGCTGGACTTCAAGATTTTGAGCAGGTCCAGCAACATGACTCCAACATGATGAGAGAGATATTGAATATGCCTCTAGTTCAGGATCTAGTGAATGACCCAGAAATCATCTGCAACTTTATCGTGAACAGTCCTCAAATGCGAGAGTATGTGAATCTTAATCCTGAGCTCCCACACATATTCAATGACCCTGCTATATTTCTCCAGATATGGGAGGCTGCACGTAATGAACTCATGCATGAGACGATAAGAACTATTCAATGGTCATTGAGCCACACTGAATCGTCTCCTGAGGAATTTAACATGCTAAGGCACATGTATGAGAATGTCGAAGAGCCATTTCAGAATGCAACAAGCATGGCTGGAGATACAAGAAATGATTCAGGGACAAACCCGTTCGTGGATCTTTTGGGAGCCCAGGAACAAGGTAGAAACCGGTCAACTAACCTTCCAGCTAATGGTTCTGACACTACTGCTAATCCTCATGCTCCAAACTCGAACCCACTTTCGGATCCTTGGGCATCAGCTGACTGTAAGTTACTTGCAAGTTTGTGGATCTAATTCTATTTGCCGCTAGATTTAACCTTGTTACTTCATCTCCTATCTTTTTCACCAGGGTCTTCTGCATCTTAAAAGAAACTTTTTATCTCTTTCCTATTTCTCGTTCTGGAGATGCTTTCATGCATCTTCACAGCTTGGGTTCCATGAAGTCATCATACTCATGCAATTTGTGCTTAGAACTTGAACATTTGAACACCTGTTCTCTGTAGCTACTTTTTTTTCTTTGTTTTTCTCTGGTAAAAATATTTCAAAGTTTAGCATAATTTTGTCAAGATTTCTTAAAAACAATTTTATACTTTTAACTATATCAGCTAATGTCTTATGTATGTAGCATTCATTATTTTGCCTTCCCCCCTTCCCCCTTTTTCAACTACTTTTGATAAGAGGGGTATTGTTTTTTTACTCTATTTTGCAGTTGGAGGTGACCAAATGAATACCGCTCCCAGATCAAATGCTTCTAGGAATATTTGGGGACCCTCTCCTGGTGGTTTGGATGACATAGCAGATTTGCAGCGAATGCTAGGTGGCATACCTGGCGCCTCTTCTGAAAATCAGTTAATAGGATACCCATCCATCTCACAGATAATGCAACACATAAACCAGGTATTTATTTATTTAATTTGTACTAAAGCTTACAAACAGTAATCGAGTTTAAGGTTTTATTCTTTTCTCTCCTGGTTTTCTTTTTTTTTGTTGTTTGTGATGGAGAATTTCTTGTCAAGCTTCTCATTTCTTGAGTATCTTTGTGGTTAGATTATGGGGCTCGACCCCAACTCTGATCCTGGGGATATGATGCCAAATCCTGAATTAATCCATCAGTTGATGTCCTCAGGGAGAATGCAGGTAAAGAATTTTTGCCTGTTGTCTTTAAGTTTTGCTTGTTGGAATTGTAGAATCTGTAAGTGGTGCATGCAGTGTAGCAAATCTAGAAAATTGAGTATCACTCTCTTTTTGATACATAAAGGTTAATGATAACTAAGAACTCAATGAGGTAAAAGTTATGTTAGAAATATGTTTAGAGCCTGTTTGGATTGGCTCTGGGCTTAGTGTAACCATTCTCATTAGTGGTCGTACTGATTACTGAAATGGCACTAAATATTAATGCTGGGCATCTGTAAGGAAAAAGGAATAAAAAAATTTACTATGAAAAACAAAGGGGAAAATAGCAACAGAAAAATTCAAAAAAAAAAATGTTGTCTATTTGTTATTCGTTTCTCTTATTGGACACCATTGAACTACTTTCAACCCTTGCAATTACTTTTTTAGATTCATTTTCTTACTAATCTAAAGAAGCTAAGCTCCGACAATGTTAATTTATCAAAAATAAACTTTACAGATTTTAGTGTCAAGTATGACATGATAGACATTGTCTTTCAGATTTTATTAATTCAATACAGAACTATACTTCAGATTTTATTATTTATGTGTCTACAGACTTTATTGTTCATTGAAACTGTTTTCATCATCATTTCATTAAATATTAGAATATTAATATGTCTATTTATTTCTCTTGAACATGATGTATGTTTTTATGTCAAATTACTGTTAAGTGTCACTGTCATGTTTTCTGAGCACAATATAAGACATTCCGGATTGAACATTTTTCATCTATATAATTTAAAAGTCATTATATTGCCCATTTGGAGGTACCAAGGGTTTAAAAGAGAATCCTTTTGATATGTGTCTGGAAATAATTGTTTTTTTTTGAAAAATAAATTGCGTTTTGTTCATCTTCAACAAAAAGACGCGTGATTTTATTCATATGTTTCTGGACATAGAGCATGATGTGTGCATAATTCTTCGAGTATGTTCTTCCATCATTCCTTTCTATTTTTAACAATCGTTCTTTTTCCTTTTAGGAATATCAGGTACAACAAGGGCCATTTCCTTACCTTGATCAGCCGCAATCAAACCAGTAAGTATGGACATATATCTATGGATTTTCACTTGGCTGGAGAATCTCACACCTCCTGATTCAGCTGATATGATTATATGCATCTCCTTGTCTCATTATTACTCATTGTTTCTTGTCCTACAAGTCACCAAAGGAAAAAGAAATATTACTTAGATTCATATTTCACTTGCCAAAAAATAGTCTAAGACTTTCTAATTAGGTTGGATAAAAGATAAACTTGTGAGTGGCTCGAGATTTTTACTCTGATTATTTGGATCAATGGGGTAATTTTCTGTCTTGCGTCTATCACTTCTGACAAAGTATCTTTTCCGCATGCAGAGAACAAGATCAGGACGAAGCTGACGAAACAGGTAATATCATTCTATATATTTCCCAATTTGATATCCTTGTAACTGTAAATATACCCTTAGGTTTGGAGGGAATGATCTCTTGATTTAGGAGCAAATAAATCCTCCTACAATATTTTACAAATGTTACTTAAGTCTAGTATTTTAATGCAAAACTAGCCTATAAGGAGCAATACACTTAATATTTTTGTGATGCACATTATTTGTGATGTTTCATATAAATGGACAACTTCTTTGTATTGTTACATGGTATATGAAATTTGAGATTTTACAAGGGCGACAGAACTGATTTGGATTTATACCTGTTAGGAGTTTATTTTTTTGTTAAAAATATTCATTGAAATTTATAGGTTGAGAATGCGGGTTTGGTGGGAATATAGAAGACACAAATTCAGATAAAATATATAAATGTCAGAAATGAACTGAACAAAAGAGTGTATTAGTATGAGAATAACGAGATGAGATATAAATTTGTATCCGGAAAAGGTGGTTTATTGTGGGGATATGTATAATACTATTTTACACTTATGAATAAGCTGAAGAAAGGTTGGATGATGAATGCTTATTTTAGATGATACTCTTTAATTTGTGAAATTAGCGAGAAAGTCAACTGAGGTTGGAACAATTGGAACTGTGACGAAGAACTCTGGTTTTAGCCTTTTATAGGTTAACTAGAAATAAAACAAACTACCTATAAAAAGTAGAAATTTGACAAACTATGTTCACTGCAAGTTATAATAAGATCACTCGAATGAGATCACTAGATGAGATAGTGGTGCCCAAATGTAGAGAGTGGAAATATTTGCTCTCATATTTGAGGAGAATGATATGATTGATGAAGATGTGACACAAGCTAAAAGAGGATTGTGGAAACGGAGGAGTGCTAAGACAGTTTTGTTATACGTGAACGCTTAAACACAAGTTGTATGCAACGGCAGCGAGATCAGAGATGTTATATGGGAGTGATTGCGAGTAATGTAAATCCATGTGTATCCACAAGATAAATTTCCTAAAAATTGCGTGGATATATAGTCATACGGGGTCATTAATATTAGAATTATCACATCTGACCCAAAAAAACACATGATAAGATGAGAGTCTGGCTTTCTATGCCCTATGTAGACCTCCACATGCATTGGTTAGTATGTGCGAAAACATGATGATTGAAGGTCATAAAAGAAGAGAAGGATAGAAAGTTGTATTTGAGAGACTTGTAGATCTCGACATCAATATGAATTTAATGTCAGATCATAATACAATAGAAGCAAAGAATCTATACATGAGTTACTCTTTTATCAGGTCAAGTCTTTGGTAGGAATCTCTTTTTGTTGTTGGATATTTGTTTGTTCGACTAACGGGATTTAGAGAAAGTCTAGTTCTAGGCAAAAATCTTTGTGTTTATTTTTTAGAGTTAGGGAATCTAATAATTGTGGGTGATTTTAACTCACATCAACTGTGGGTGACATTAATAATTGCAGAATATCAGAACGGGGCAATGGAAGTGGCGAGGAACGTGGTTGATAGTACTCTAGAGAGGGCAAGTTTGCATGAATTCCCCGGATTAAATAATTGATAGTTTATTCTCGTCTTTCTCATTCTCTCTCTATATATCTCGTACTTAACTCGGATTCTCATATTCCTGTTGACATCTTATTGCAGTAGGCTAAGAGGAATTATATGCTATGCTGTTTCTCCAGGTCGTTAGACTACATCGGATTCTTTGACAGTGAATAAGCGCTTATTGCCGTGGAGGAACTTGAAGAAGACAGTGGAGAGTAGAGTATGTATATTCTCTTTTTATGACTATATATATATAGAGAGAGAGAGAGAGAGAGAAATCCAGATAAAATTGTTGATGTAGACAGAAGAAAAGGAGATTGGTGGAGGAACTAGTTCTTCAGCTCATTGTACATGCTATGTTAAATTGTTCATTATCTTATGATTTTATTGCCTACTTTCCTGTAGCATTTTGTTTTTGCTTTGCTAGGTGGATTCAATTTGATCATAGAGTATTCGTGCAAGGACTATGCTTCGAAAAAGGGTCAAAAATACCTCTAACCTACCCAAAAAACCTCACAAACATTTTTATCTAAAAATACTGTCAATTACTCTATTATTTTTGGTGCAAATATACTCCTCTTCCCCTCCCCCTTTGATTAAAAAATGCCTTTATAATATTAATAATGTTGTATCTAGAATTCAGTAATTTTCCTTCAACAATCTATATCCATAGTCCAAATCCTCAATTTTCCTATTAATCAAAAGTGATAAAAAGATTTACATCACCTTTTAATTCTTAGAATGTTATTAATAATATGTCTTGTTTTAAAACCTGGTTAATTTTTTATTCTTATATTTTATAATTGTGGCCGGCAATTGCATTATTACAGTTGTTATTTGGTTGCATAGGATTTCTAAGAAATTGTAGGTACTTGATGATACATAAGGTGGTGAACCTTCACTAATACTAATTAGTCTAATTAAGAATTGGAGGCACAAAATATCGAACAAAATATTTCACTTAGCTTCTATAATTAGAGCTATGTATGTACTCTTGTTTTGTATCTCTAATTTTTGTTGTAGTGATTGAATAAGTTTATACCTACTCTACATAAAACGTCTCATCTCGCACATTACCTCTCAAAACATTGTGTTCAAGTCCGTCCATAATAATTTTATTTGGACTTTGTTGAAATGTTGTTACTTTTTGAATTGTACTATAAATATGATCAGCTACTGGCAGAGTTCGATACCAAAATAAACACTTTACGAATCTTAAACATCACTTTATGAATCTTAAACATCAAAAGGGATTCTCTCTAAAAATATACATCAAAACGGAGGTTCGCCCATTTATGAGGTAACTATAACTGTGATCCTTTAACACTGTCATTCCCATTAACCCTCACTCACTTCATCCAAAATAATACATTACGTCAACTTTAGAAGGAGTCCGTGCCATACAATTCTTTTTATATCTTTCTCAATTTTAAATGCATTATGAAGTTTTTTCAATAATAAAAATATGAAAAAACCTGAGCATTGTTTTCATAAAATAAAATTTTCTATTATTTGCTTGCAGCAATAGTAATAAACTAACAATACTAGTAGTAATAAACTAGTAGTGCTAATAGTTATAGTAATTTTCAAAAAAAAAATGTTGCGGTTCATTCAAATACGGGCGTACTCTATTATTTTCTTTAGGAAAATTAAAACCAACTAAATAAGGCAAAACGACTTAGTTTTTTTTATGAGCACGTTTTATCCCAAAAAAAAATCGAATTCATCATTTTCCTGAAATAATAAAACAAGAAAACCAGTAAATATCATTTTCACCTGCATGTCACATTCATAGTTCATGCCTTGTCTTAGTATTCTGAATCTACTTTTCCATGCACCAAAATTTCTTTCAATTACATTGCGCAGAGAAGCATGTCTATAGTTAAATAGCTCTTTTCCATTCTTAGGCTCTCTTTCACTTCCTCGGTAGTCCTGCAAATGATAGCGCATTCCAATGAATGGAGCTAAAAATCCTCTTGTGATCCGTAGACCAGCATCAACAACGTAATATTTATCTACCAAAATAAAATAAATGCAATTCATGTTTTATTTAGTAGCTTGTTCATTAAGACTAACTGTAATAAAGGAATGTATGAAATCAAAAGAATGCATGTAGAAGGGAGCTAATTGAATTGGTTGGTGTCAATAAATATATTATTTTTGTAAAATAAAAAGTTAAGGGTAAAAATTGAATTTCTAAAACTTTCCAAATAATGAAATTTGGCCCAAATACTAGATTTTTCTAGTATTTGGGAATTTGGAAAATTTGCCAAAAAAATTTGCCAAATAATAAAAAAGTGTATGGACAAACAAAATTTGCCAAGTTTTTTCCCAAGTTTTACTTGCAAAATTTATGGCCAAACGGGCCCTTAGAATGTAGAAGTATCTTATTTGACGGTTGTGAAGGAGATATCCTGCAATTGAAGGGAGTAGTAATTTCTGAAAGCCTACATTCGACTCCTACATACAATAATTGACGTCATGAGCTCATTCGCTCCATCTTGATAGGTAGGATTACGTTGACAAAATATTCCTTAATTTCTCGATTTAGAAGTGCAAATTTAACCTCTTTGTTTGTGTTCTTTCCAAAATAGATGGAAATGATCGATAAGTTGTGTGTTAATGCATTAGGACAAAATTTCGATTCTAATAGATTTAAAGTCTTGCTTATTTGTTACAATATACTCCCTAATCGGGCATGTTTTGTCTTGGGATAAGAAATAGGTAAAGGTCAATAAGTGGAAAAAAGTAATATATAGGAATGATGCAGTGGTATTGGGGTTTATTGGGCATTTATTAGAGTATGAAGCTGTGTACGTGGATCTGCAGTCGCAGAGAATCTGCATATTTGTTGCAGTTCAGTTTCTATTTTACTAAGTAGATTTGATTTAGCATGTATTCTCTTGACTTTAACATTATGCTACTTAATGCCAATTATGTTGATCTGATTCATGATTGATTACTTATAACCACATAACATTCTGGATTGAGCTTTGGAATCTTATACTTTCAAGATGCACGGAGCTTCTATTTTATCTGCTCTCTTGTTGCATGTTATCAGCTGTCAGAATAAGAATCACAGTAAATTTAATTTTAATATTTGTGGCGAGCAGGTCTGGAGGCAGACTACACAGTTCATCTTATTCAAGGTTCTGCCGCAGCTACTTCTGCTAGTGCAACCAATGTTGTAAATCCAAATGCTAATCAGGATGCTCCCATGGTTGGCTTTCCCACTACAGGGGGGCTGTTTGTCAGAGTCAGTGGAGGTCCACTCTTTTCTGGACTTGGAAGTAGAGGTGGTTCGTTTGGAGCTGGACTTCCAGATTTTGAGCAGGTCCAGCAACATGACTCCAACATGATGAGAGATATTGAATATGCCTCTAGTTCAGGATCTACTGAATCTTAATCCCGAGCTCTCACACATATTCAATGACCCTGCTATATTTCTCCAGACATGGGAGGCTGCACGTAATGAACTCATGCATGAGACGATAAGAACTATTCAATGGTCATTGAGACAAACTGAATCATCTCTTAAGAAATTTAACATGCTAAGGCACATGTATGAGATACAAGAAATGATTCAGGGACAAACCCGTTAGTGGCTCTTTTGGGAGACCAGGAACAAGGCAAAAACCGGTCAACTAACCCTCCAGCTACTGGTTCTGACACAACTGCTAATCCTCTTGCTCCAAACTCGAACCCACTTTCGGATCCTTGGGCACCACCTGACTGTAAGTTTCTAGCAAGTTTGTGGATCTAATTCTATTTTCCGCTAGATTTAACCTTGTTACTTCATCTCCTATCTTGTTCACCAGGGTCTTCTGCATATTAAAAGAAACTTTTTATCTCTTTCCTATTTCTCGTTCTGGAGATGCTTTCATGCATCTTCACTGCTTGGGTGCCATGAAGTCATCATACTCATGCAATTTGTGCGTACAACTTGAACATTTGAACACCTGTTCTCTGTAGCTACTTTTTTTCTTTGTTTTTCTCTGGTAAAAATATTTCAAAGTTTAGCATAATTTTGTCACGATTTCTTAAAACAATTTTATACTTTTAACTATATCAGCTAATGTCTTATGTATGTAGCATTCATTATCTTGCTTCCCCCCCTTACCCCCTTTTCAACTACTTTTGATAAGCGGGGTATTGTCTTTTTACACTATTTTGCAGTTGGAGGTGCCCAAATGAATACCGCTCCTAGATCAAATGCTTCTAGGAATATTTTGGGACCCTCTCCTGGTGGTTTGGATGACATAGCAGATTTGCAGCGAATGCTAGGTGGCATACCTGGAGCCTCTTCTGAAAATCAGTTAATAGGATACCCATCCATCTCGCAGATAATGCAGCACATAAACCAGGTATTTATTTATTTATTTATTTATTTTGTATTAAAGCTTACAAACAGTCATCGAGTTTAAGGTTTTATTCTTTTCTCTCCTGGTTTTCTTTTTTTGTTGTTTGTGATGGAGAATTTCTTGTCAAGCTTCTCATTTCTTGAGTATCTTGGTGGTTAGATTATGGGGCTCGACCCCAACTCTCATCGTGGGGATATGATGCCAAATCCTGAATTAATTCATCAGTTGATGTCCTCTAAGAGGATGCAGGTAAAGAATTTATGCATGCTGTCTTTAAGTTTTGCTTGTTGGAATTGTAGAATGTGTAAGTGGTTCATGCAGTGTGGCAAATCTAGAAAATCGGGTATCACTCTCTTTTTGATACATAAAGGTTAATGATAACTTAGAACTCAATGAGGTAAATTTATGTTAGAAATATGTTTAGAGCCAGTTTGGATTGGCTCTAGGCTTTTAGCTTATAAGCCAAAAGTCATACTATTTTTGCCACACTGCATGCACCACTTAATAGCACTTTTTTGTTTTACACATATACTAGAAAAGTGCTTTAAAAATATTTTGGCTTAAAAATACTTAAAATAAGTCAATCCAAACGGACACTTAGTAGATTTGTCGCAAACTTACACCTAGAGGTAAATAAGTTAAATTACAGCTTAAAAAGGTAAAAGTATGACTCCTTCCATTTTCAATTTATTTGTTTGGTTTTGACTTGGCATGAAGTTGTAGAAAGTAAAGAAGACCTTTGTGTGGTCTTAAACTAAAGATAGGTAGAATTCATAACATCCTTTAATCTTGTGGTCTTGTGGTCTTGAACATGTGAAAAGTTAGAACTAAAAGAGTTGTCATAACATGAAAAAGACATTCCTTTTTAAATAGACTAACAAAGAAAGTAGGATAAACAAATTGAAATTCAGGGAGTATTAGAAATTTTCTTAGTAGAATTGGTGCAGAAAGAGCTTTTGCAGATTGATCTAGTGAGAACTTGAATCAGATTGTTTTAGAGAGATTGTCAAAAATGCACCAAGAGGTCAGAGGCTAATTAATTGAGATTATAAATGTAGTGTCTCTATGTGTTTAAAATGTAGATGTGGTCTTAGTGGCTTGGTGTAACCATTCTCATTAGTGGTCGTACTGATTACTGAAATGGCACTAAATATTAATGCTGGGCATCTGTAAGGAAAAAGAATAAAAGCATCTACTATGAAAAACAAAGGGGAAAATAGCAACAGAAAAAATCAAACAAAAAAAATTGTCTATTTGTTATTCGTTTCTCTTATTGGACACCATTGAACTACTTTTAACCCTTGCAATTACTTTTTTAGATTCATTTTCTTACTAATCTAAATAAGCTTAGCTCCGACAATGTTAATCTATCAAAAATAAACTTTACAGATTTTAGTGTCAAGTATGATATGATAGGCACTGTCCTTCAGATTTTATTATTTCAATACAGAACTATACTTCAGATTTTATTATTTATGTGTCTACAGACTTTATTGTTCATTGAAACTGTTTTCATCACCATTTCATTAAATATTAGAATATTAATATGTCTATTTATTTCTCTTGAACATGATGTATGTTTTTATGTGATATTACTGTTAAGTGTCACTGACTCATCAAACATGTTTTCTGAGCACAATATAAGACATACCGGATTGAACATTTTTCATCTATATAATTTAAAAGTCATTATATTGCCCATTTGGAGGTACCACGGATTTAAAAGAGAATCCTTTTGATATGTGTCTGGAAATAATTGTTTTTTTAAAAAAAAAATCAGTTTTATTCATCTTCAACAAAAAGACGCGTTGATTTTATTCATATGTTTCTGGACATAGAGCATGATGTGTGCATAATTCTTCGGGTATGTTCTTCCTTCATTCCTTTCTTTTTTTTTTACAATCGTTCTTTTTCTTTTTAGGAATATCTGGTACAACAAGGGCTATTTCCTTACCTTGATCAGCCGCAATCAAACCAGTAAGTCTGGACATATATCTATGGAATTTCACTTGGCTGGAGAATCTCACACCTCCTGATTCAGCTGATATGATGCTATGCATCTCCTTGTCTCATTATTACTCATTGTTTCTTGTCCTACAAGTCACCAAAGGAAAAAGAAATATTACTTAGATTCATATTTCACTTGTCAAAAAATAGTCTAAGCCTTTCTAATTAGGTCGGATAAAAGATAAACTTGTGAGTGGCTCGAGATTTTTACTCTGATTATTTGGATCAATGGGGTAATTTTCTGCCTTGCGTCTATCACTTCTGACGAAACAGGTAATATTTCATTCTCTATATTTCCCAATTTGATATCCTTGTAACTGTAAATATACCCTTAGGTTTGGAGGGAATGATCTCTTGATTTAGGAGCAAATAAATACTATTACAATATTTTCCAAATGTTACTTAAGTCTAGTATTTTAATGCAAAACTGGCCTTTTAGGAACAATACACTTTATATTTTTGTGATGCACATTATTTGTGATGTTTCATATAAATGGACAACTTCTTTGTATTGTTACATGGTATATGAAATTTGAGTTTTTACAAGGGCGACAGAACTTATTTGGATTTATACCTGTAGGAGTTTATTTTTTTGTTAAAGATATTGATTGAAATTTATAGGTTGAGAATGCGGGTTTGGTGGGGATATAGAAGACACAAATTCAGATAAAATATATAAATGTCAAAAATGAACTGTACAAAAGAGTGATATTAGTATGAAAATAACGAGATGAGATATAAATTTGTATCCGAAAAAAGGTGGTTTATTGTGGGGATCTGTATAATACTATTTTACACTTATGAATAAGCTGAATAAAGGTTGGATGATGAATGCTTATTTTAAATGATACTCTTTAATTGGTTAAATTAGCGAGAAAGTCAACTGAGGTTGGAACTATGACGAAGAACTCTGGTTTTAGCCTTTTATTTAGGTTAATTAGAAATAAAACAAACTACCTATAAAAAGTAGAAATTTGACAAACTATGTTCACTGCAAGTTATAATAAGATCACTCGAATGAGAACACTAGATGAGATAGTGGTGCCCAAATGAAGAGAGTGGAAATATTTGCTCTCATATTTGAGGAGAATGATATGATTGATGAAGATGTGACACAAGCTAAAAGAGGATTATGGAAACGGAGGAGTGCTAAGATAGTTGTGTTATACGTGAACGCTTAACAAAGTGAAACACAAGTTGTATGCAACGGCAGCGAGATCAGAGATGTTATATGGGAGTGATTGCGAGTAATGTAAATCCATGTGTATCCACAAGATAAATTTCCTAAAAATTGTGTGGATATATAGTCATACGGGGTCATTAAGATTAGAATTATCACATCTGACCCAAAAAAACACATGATAAGATGAGAGTCTGGCTTTTTATGTCCTATTTAGACCTCCACTTGCATTGGTCAGTATGTGCGAAAACATGATGATTGAAGGTGATAAAAGAAGAGAGGGATAGAAAGTTATTTTTGAGAGACTTGTACATCTCGACATAATTTAATGTCAGATCATAATACAATAGAAGCAAAGAATCTATACATGAGTTACTATTTTATCAGGTCAAGTCTTTGGTAGGAATCTCTTTTTGTTGTTGGATACTTGTTTGTTCGACTAACGGGATTAATAGAGTCTAGTTCTAGGCAAAAATCTTAGTGTTTATTTTTTAGAGTTAGGGAATCTAATAATTGTGGGTGATTTTAACTCACATCAACTGTGGGTGACTTTAATAATTGCAGAATATCAGAACGGGGCAATGGAAGTGGCGAGGAACGTGGTTGATAGTACTCTAGAGAGAGCAAGTTTGCATGAATTCCCCGGATTAAATAATTGTTAGTTTATTCTCGTCTTTCTCATTCTCTCTCTATATATCTCGGACTTAACTCGGATGCTCATATTCCTGTTGACATCTTATTGCAGTAGGCCTAGAGGAATTATATGCTATGCTGTTTCTCCAGGTCGTTAGACTACATCGGATTCTTTGACAGTGAAGAAGCACTTATTGCCGTGGAGGAACTTGAAGAAGACAGTGGAGAGTAGTGTATGTATATTCTCTTTTTATGACTATACATATATATAGAGAGAGTAATCCAGATGAAATTGTTGATGTAGACAGAAGAAAAGGAGATTGGTGGAGGAACTAGTTCTTCAGTTCATTGTACATGCTATGTTAAATTGTTCATTATCATATGATTTTATTGCCTACTTTCCTGTAGCATTTTGTTTTTGCTTTGCTAGGTGGATTCAATTTGATCGTAGAGTATCCATGCAAGGACTATACTTCGAAAAAGGGTAAAAAATACCTCTAACCTACCCAAAAAACCTCACAAACATTTTTATCTAAAAATATTGTCAATTACTCATTATTTTTGGTGCAAATATAATCCTCTTCCCCTCCCCCCTTTTGATTAAAAAATGCCTTTATAATATTAATAATGTTGTATCTAGAATTCAGTAATTTTCCTTCAACAATCTATATATCCATAGTCCAAATCCTCAATTTTCCTATTAATCAAAAGTGATAAAAAGATTTACATCACCTTTTAATTCTTAGATTGTTATTAATAATAAATATGTCTTGTTTTAAAACCTGGTTAATTTTGATTTTTATATTTTATAATTGTGGCCGGCAATTACATTATTACAGTTGATATTTGATTGCAAAGGATTTCTAAGAAATTGTAGGTACTTGATGATACATAAGGAGGTGAACCTTCACTAATACTAATTAGTCTAATTAAGAATTGGAGGCACAAAATATCGAGCAAAATATTTCACCTAGCTTCTATAATTAGAGCTATGTATGTACTCTTGTTTTGTATCTCTAATTTTTGTTGTTGTGATTGAATAAGTTTATACCTACTCTACATAAAACGTCTCACCTCGCGTATTTTCTTCTCAAAACATTGTGTTCAAGTTCGTCCATAATAATTTTATTTAGACTTTGTTGGAACTTTGTTAATTTTTGAATTGTACTATAAATATGATCAGCTACTGGCAGAGTTCGATACCAAAATAAACACTTAACGACTCTTAAAATCACTTTATGAATCTTAAACATCAAAAGGGATTCTCTCTAAAAACATACATCAAAACAGAGGTTCGCCCATTTATGAGGTAACTATAACTATGATCCTTTAACAGTGTCATTCCCATTAACCCTCACTCACTTCATCCAATATAATACATTACGTCAACTTTCAAAGGAGTCCGCGCCATACAATTCTTTTTATATCTTTCTCAATTTTAAATGCATTATGAAGTTTTTTCAATAATAAAAATATGAAAAAACTTGAGCATTGTTTTCATAAAATAAAATTTTCTATTATTTGCTTGCAGCAATAGTAATAAACTAACAATACTAATAGAAATAAACTAGTAATACTAATAGTTATAGTAATTTTTAAAAAATAAATGTTGCGGTTCATTCAAATACGGGCGTACTCTATTATATTCTTTTAGGAAAATTAAAACCAACTAAATAAGGCAAAACGACGTCGTTTTTTTTATGAGCATGTTTTATCCCAAAAAAAATAATCGCATTCACCATTTTCCTGAAATAATAAAACAAGAAAACCAGTAAATATCCAAGATCCAGTAAAAATACTCTTTGCTTTTACAAACATCTAGTTCAATTGAATATCTAGACTTTTTGAATTACTAAAATATAACTGTTAAATTTAAAAAATTAAACTATATATACAGTATAAAAAAGTAAAAGCTGAATGAGAAAATGTTGAGCAAATAATACATATTTATTATTGAAGAAAGGAATAAAACTTCAGTTGAGGAAGAAAAGTATGTAGATTAGAGTAAGGAAATAATATAAAGAAATTATAGTTCCCCTATTTTAAAGGTTGTAAATATTTTTTTTGCATGGATCTGTATTTAACAAGGATGATCAATATTAAAGATGATAGTTATAGCTCGTCCATTTATGAATGAACTGTCCATTTTGGTGTGTTATAAGAGCTTCTCTTGATGTTTAGGGTTCAAGAAATGTCAATTTTAATGCTGGACTTGCTACATGCATGCATGCTATCCTTAGAGAAATATGATAAGCTGTATTGTCAAATGATCAATGAGTGTGGATTGAGAATTTTGTTGTGGTCTAGTGATTAATAAATTAAGGGGGTTGAGAATTACGATATTTTAATTTTAAAATACAATAAAAGTAAAAATAATAGGTTATTTTTCCCTAATTGTTTCTAATATTAATGGGGAAAAAAATACATGACATCATATTCTTGATGGAAGATAACAAATATCCTATAAAATTAATCAAGATAATCAAATACTACGATATAAAAACAATATACATTTTTCTAAAATTAAAGGCCGGTATTTAAAAATGAGTTTTCAACTTTTAACTTAATCCAAGCCTCCTCTAACAATTTAGCGGCCATCAAAATTCTACTATGTTATTTTAATAATTATAATTGGTTTATGTAAATTGATTTTGGTCAGGGAAGTTATAGTAATCTTAAGAATTTACTGCATGTTTTAAATTATTATTTAACTATTATTTTTAAGCACTATCCCGCTTATATTGTGCTAAAATGTTAAAATATTTACATTGATATATTTAGGACAAGAAATCAATCCTTTAAAAAATCAGAAATTTAGGACAGCACATTAAATCCTTGAAAACAACAAATTAGGACAAGAAATAAATCCTTTAAACAACAATTTAGGACAAGAAATAAATCCTATTAAAACTACATTTTAGGACAAATGTAAATCCTTAAAAAACAGCAATTTAGGACAAGGCATGATTTATGAATCCTTAAAAGGAAACAATTTAGACAAGAAATAAATTTTTAAAAGAACAATTTAATACAAGAAATAAATCCTTAAAAAAAATTAGGACAAAAAATAAATCCTTAAAATATCAATTTTGGACAAGAAGTAAATCCTTAAAACAACAATTTTAGGACAAAATATAAATCTTTAAAAAATTCCATTTGACAAAATATCTTAACATCAACATTGTATCAAAATTTAATTTAATTATGCCTATTAATTTAATTAATAATCCTTTCCAACAGTTTCAAAAAGTAAGCACTTATAAAATTATTATTAAACTTAGGGAAAATGCACAAGTACCCCCTCAACCTATGTGTGAAATCCCAGAGACACACTTATACTATACTAAGGTCCTATTACCCCCCTGAACTTATTTTATAAGTAATTTTCTACCCCTTTTTATCCTACGTGGCACTAGTTTTTTTAAAAAAATCAACCATTGTTGAGCCCACAAGATAGTGCCACGTAGGTCAAAAAGGGGTAAAAAATTATTTATAAAATAAGTTTAGGGGGGTAATAGGACCTTAGTATAGTATAAGTGTGTCTCTGAGATTTCAGGCATAGGTTGAGGGGGTACTTGGGCATTATCCCATTAAACTTATTTATGTCTAAAGGAATTGTCATTACTATTTTAATTTGTTACACATATTCTAACAAGTGAAAACTCTCAATTTTTTCTTATATATATTATTTTATTTTATTTCAGTATAAATTAAACATGAGTTATTGACAAAATGTAAAACAATAAAAATGGATGCTTATTCTTTTTAGGGATCTATAAGCAATGAATTATCAAAATATTATCTTAGCTACGATAAATGCAACAACATTCAACTATTTACTGTTAATTTTCTATTTTAATTTTCGATTTTCAAATTTTTTTATTTAAGGTGAGGTCCTTTGTAAGTTGATACTATATCACTTTGTATTTATTCACCTCCTTCCGGTTCTTGTTTGGCTTATATCTTTACCTCTTCTAACTTTTGTTATAATCAACTTCTTACGCTTTCCTACTAACGCATTCACACATTTCCTTCTCATATTTTTGAACTATCTCAATGTTGCGTCTTTATCTTATGTGTCATATATAAACTCCGTTTCATATATCTACCTAGTCGTCCTCATCTACGCTAGCTACATTCATCTTTTGCATGTGTTGCCTTTATTGGACAACACTCTGCCTCTTATAACAATAATGTTAATCTAATTAGCCCCAGCACAGCCACTATGTATAACTTACATTTAATCATCTATAGGGACACATTTTTATCGCATAGAATAAAGAATGTATGCCTCAATTTCATCCGCCCACTTCAATACGGTGTGTGACATCATTACTTTTCCAGTTATATTGAATTATATATGGAGCCATAAACTTAAATATGAATTTTGTGTTAATCTTCACTTATACTTTCGTTTCATATATTACGTCACTAAACTTTTGACTTCAGTTCTACTTAAATCTAAAACATTTAGACTCCAAGGTATGTCTTCGAACATCCAGCTTATTATCATTAACTCCATCGAACGCATCTTTTCAAGTCATGTCATTTACAAATAACATAAAATACACCGTAAAACCTTTTTTTAATATATCGTGTCAATTCATATATCTCCCAAGAAAAAAAAGGTAATAATTGATCCCCGATACAACCAATCACGATCGAGAAGTGTTCAAAATCACCCTCACCCATTCTAACTCAAGTCTTGACTCCATTCCACTTGTCCTTTATTTCTGACACCTGTAAACTCCTAATATCTCAAAAGAACCTCCTTATAAGGACTTAATCAACATCACAACAGGATTATTATA